TAATTGACTCCACTGCTTGGGTTATCTGCTTGTTTAAAGCTAAGACTAATTAAAAGATTAGCTGTATTAGTCCAGGATGTCAATTTCAAGTCTCTCGAAGATGTTTTGAACATGTATGCTAGTGTTTTTGATGGTTTAGGCCAGTTCCCAACTGATGAGCATCACATTTCTCTGAAAAAAGATGCCGTTCTACATATTCAGCCTCCCAGGAGAGTTCCTAGAGCATTGCATCATAGATTGAAATTTAAACTAGAGCAACTTGAAGTTCAAGGTGTAATTAAAAAACTTGACGGACCAACTGAGTGGCTGAATCCTTTATTCATAGTGGAAAAAAGTAATGGAGACTCGAGGTTGTGCCTAGACTCCAAGTATTTGAATAAGGCAATTTAGTGTGAACATTTTCTAATTCCTACTTCTGAGGAAATTGCTGTCAAACTATGTAATAAAGAATATTTTTGGTTGCTTGATATGAAAGACGGTTATTTCCAGATCAAAATTGACAATCAAAGTTCGAAGTACACAGCTTTTGGCACACCATTTGGGCGATTTGAATTTTTGCGTTTGCGTTTACCTTTTGGCATTTGCTCTGCCCCGGAAGTCTTTCAAAGGAAAATATATGAAATATTTGGGTACTTGGATGGCGTAGGGCTCTATTTTGATGATCTTATAGCTACAGGTGAAAATCAGTTCGAACATGATCATAATTTACATTTAGTGCTTGAACGGGCTCTCAAGATTAATATTAACTTTAATTCTTCGAAAATCCAGTTTAAATTGAAAAGTGTAAAATTTATGGGACAAATTTACTCAAAGGCGGGGTAGAGCCAAATAGAAGTTATGTTAAAGCAATTCTTGATTTTCCAGAGCCAAAAAACAGAAATGATTTATTAAGGGTCCTTGATATGGCAAAGTATTTGGGTAAATTTATACCAAATTTGTCAAAGATTACTGCTCCACTAAGAGAGTTAACAAGACTGGATTGTGTTTGGAACTGGCAGGACATTCATGAACAATCTCTTTTTCAACTTTTAACATCCAAGCCCGTACTAAAATTCTCTGATTCACAGAAAGAAATTGAAATAGAAACTGATGCATCGAAGGACGGTCTTGGAGCCTGCCTTTTGCAGGAAGAACACCTTGTGGCATTCGCTCCACGAAGGCTCACTTGCAATGCTTGCCATTATTTTTGCCATCCAGAAATTAAATTTCTTCTATATGGTTTAAAAATTAAAGTAAATTCAGATCATAAGCCTCTTGAAACCATCTTTTAAAAGGATTTAGCCAGTATTTCCCCCCGATTACAACGACTGAGACTTAAATTACTTAATTATGCTTTAGAAGTTCATTATAAGCCAGGAAAATACCTTTATATTGCAGATATATTATCGCGTGCCTGTCTTGTTGAGAAAGGGTTGAAATCAGATAAAGAATTAAATTTTGCAGTTCATTCTGTCATTAAGAATATTCGATTGTGCACGTCATTATCACAAAATTAAAGAAAACCTCACTTTTTCAGATGGCTTATTACTCTTTAATGATAAACTTATAGTACCGACCAGTTTACGTCAGAAAATGTTAATGTTTTTACATGAGGGTCACATTGGGTTAGAAAAATGTAAAAATAGAGCGCGCCAATTTTTTTACTGGCCAGGTAGGTGCACACTTAGAAACATTCGTAAGTAAGTGCAAACTTTGTGAAGCAAATACCAAAAAGTAACAGAAAGAGTCCTTGCACTCATTTGTTATCCCTGAACGGCCTTGGGAAAGATTAGGGCTTGACATCTCATACGCAAATAAAAGTTATCTTATTGCCAAAGATCCTTATTCTAATTGGTTAGAATTACGCCATATCAAAGATAAATCAATAAAGTGCCTAAAAAATATTTTTTCAGTTTTTGGATCACCAGACGTGGTAACTTGTGACAATGTACCATTTGACAGTTTTGATTTCAAACACTTTGCAAAAGAATGGAATTTTAAAATAGTCACCAGAAGCCCAAACTATCCACGTTCCAATGGCCTTGCAGAAAAGGGAGTGGGAATAGGCAAAAGTATTGTATTGTATTGTATTGTATTGTATTGTATTGTAAAAAATAAAAGGGGAAGAGGAAGTTGAGTATGCTTTGTTGCAATATAGAAACTCTTAAAAATATGAGCTATTCCTCGTCCCAACTTCTCATGAGTAAAATTTATAAAACAAAAATTCCTATAAGTTCTAATTTGTTAAATCCCCGTTTGTGTGGAAATGTAGCTCAAAAGTTAGAAAATAAGCAAGCTATCTCTAGAAAGTATTATGATAGAAATTCTAAAGATTTAGTGTCTTTAAAGGCTTACAATAATAACTATTATAATCATGTTGAGAAGAAGTGAGAACCAGGATTGCTAATCAAGCAACATGGTTCGCCTCGTTCTTATTTAGTTCAGAACCAATTTGGTCACACCCTAAGACGTAACCGTGTTGATTTGAGGCCTTTTCCAAATAAATATATACCCACTTCTTCTAACAGGTTTGACATACCGGATATGACAGAACACGGCACTGTTTGTCCTAGAACTAGTCGAGAAAATAAGCATGTACACCTTGATGTACCTAATGTAAAACCGGCTTCTGACCCTAGATATGATCTAAAAATAACTTCATCTGGTAGGGTTATAAAGTCTCCTTAAAAATTAAATTTATGAGGGAGGATGTGATAGTAATACAGGTGCCTTTGACAACACCAGTGACGGTAGTTGACAAGTTCTGTTGTCTAGCTGCCCCTTGCATGTTGCATGGGACTTAAAAAACAGCACGAGTTAAAACACACTCATAGTTATTTTATTTATATCCTTTGACGATATAAAACAAATACTGCTTTATTATTTTGTATTTATTTATTATGTTGGGTACCTATTCCACATAAGAGATCACTATTTGGAGTCTGGATCAGCTGGAGTGACGTCACACCAGCAATCTATCCTCGATCCTGAATATAGGAAACAACCTGAAGAGCTCCAGATTGGAAAAGGTACATACCGTATCAATATCACGAGAACAACCAAACTGATAACTTTTAAATTGTATAAGGTCACTTGTTACTTACAGTGTTACTTACATTGTTATTCCATATTTAGATATACTGAATAAAATTACTGTTTGATGGAATTTGAGTGGTTTCCACATAAAGGGGCTACACGTTTTATTATTTATTTTTGAAATCCACGACCCTATAGGTTCTCTTGCTTCAAATTACAAATAAGTAAAATTTATTTGTAACAGGCGTTATGTCACTCTGACGTACAAAATTTTTAGTCCATACTTACTGGTCGAACGTTAGAAAAAAACATGAACGAGAATCTGTTATTGCTTAGTGATAATTTGTTTCTTAGTTAGAGTGAGTACAAAAGCAATATACCTAGATAATACTATGTAATGTAATAATAGTATTTATTCTTTACCTGGGAGGAAAAGTTAAATATTGCAGGACGACCGTAGGGACTTTCTGTCGAGGCCCAAGCCGAGACTAGTAATACGAAGTCCGGGAATGTAGCCTTTCCTATGAGGTAAAATATTTATGTACCCAGGGCGCAATTATGGTGTTTGCGGCTCGCCGCATGGAAATCTTATGTCAGATATTATTTAAAAAAAAAAAAAATACTTATATATTAAATAAATAATGAATGCACCCATCCTTCAAAGTCAAATAATAAATAAATATGGATGTTCTTACTGGAGGAAAATTACTCAATGGAAAATTATTAGTAGAAACTACAGTATAACCAATCAAACTCAAACATTGAATTATTCAATTTAATGATTTTTTAATGTTCTTGAAGGGTAAATAACCAATTTGTACAAGTACGTCACCTATACCTACACCTTTGAGGCCCTGCGGGGTCGCAAATTAAGGCGTAAAAAGGTGCATTGCGGCATGGTCGTACATAACTAGGTACTATTTTCCCAAGAATTGAAAATTTTTCAAAGGACGTAAATTATTACAATCAACTTGTTAAAATTTTGAAATAGCATTATAGGTTTCATTCACAAATAGGTTGAGGACTGCATCAAATATTTCATAATGTAGGTAGGTATTGAAATTCTCAAGCATAAAATTGTTTTCGAAAAAAAAAAAATCTTCTTAATATATTTTTTTTCTGTCAGGTTATGATATTTCCCTAAAGTACAATAATGATTATTTCATTCATTATAAAATAGACCAATCAGACAACGTCATTTTTTGAATAAATTTTGTTTAAATAAGTGATTATTTCACAAGACCTGTTTATCAGCGATTAAATTTTTGTTTACCTTTTTTGACAGAATTTTGATAGAAATATTCTGACATTTTATAATAAAAAATAGAACTTTTTGTTTCTGGCTTCAATCCTAATAATTATTCAGGAAATAATCTAGCCGTATATCATTCGACCTAGAAATTTAAATGGATTAAACTATCCAAATATTTTTCGCACAACTTTGCTTTTTGGCAAATAGTTTCATGCACAATAACTTTTAAATAAAAGCCCTCGACCGCTTCGCGGTCTCGAGCTTTTATTAAGTTATTGTGCATTCAACTATTTTCCAAGCAAAATCATGCTCAAAATATGTTGCATAGTTTAATCGATTAAATTTGAAGGTCTTGTGATATAATATATGAATATTTCCTAACAGTTACCTTCCGTTCCTTGGCAACAACTAGCTGAAAGGAAATATTGACCTTTTCTTTCAATAATATCCTTATTTTTATTCTTTTATTTTCCAAAAAAAATATTTTTCCATGCAAAATCTGATAAATCTACCTTAATCAATCTTATGAAATAAAATTTAATGACAAAAACGGTCGGCATCGCACAGTTAAATAAAACGATTGCCCAACAAAAGAATTCTCCAACGTTATCAATATTTTTGCAGCCTTAAGACGTACGTATTCTCTCCGTCTTAGGCGAAATTTAATTTGCCCCGTACATTAAGGACTTTATCCCGAACAAGATCCTTCATTAGTTTCCTTAATTAATTACAGAGACAGGGGTGTATCCACGGCGAAGAACTGCCCTACTTATTCGGCGCGCCCCTCGTCGGCGGCCTCATGCATTTCGGCAGGAACTACACTAAATCGGAAGTAATTCTCTCCGAAATTACCATGATCTACTGGAGCAATTTCGCAAGGACCGGGTAAGTACTTTAAAATTTGTTTTTAGTTGCCCTCGAAGAAACCCTTTTCGCAAATCTTTCCCCCAAATTTATTGGGTCTCAATCTTCTCAAGGAGTAAGACTACTAACTACTTAGCTCAACAAAGAAAATATCAGCGTCGTGTGGTATTCACAATATAATGTTTTTATGCAATTACACAATAAACATGTCCAGTCCTCAAACTTGGGATATTTTTTGTGTACAATCTTCGTGCCAAATTGGAATTGCTCAGAACAGTTATTCGATTTATTATATACAAAAGGTCTTTACAATTTGGAGCGCTCAACAATAACACAACAGATGTATGTGATCTGCAGTTATTAATTTAACATTGACTTGTAATAGAAAATTGTTAATGAATGGCTACGTTATTAACAGACAGAAAATAAAATATTACACAATATATATACAATGAAAAAAACTCGGACATCTATGTTATGTTAGTAATGCATTATTATGTACAAATACCATAGGTACGTCAATTTTTGACGGAGTTATATTTTAAAACCCTATGTTATTATTATACTACTAATTCCCCTTTTCAATGCTAAACATAAGCATATGCCACTGTAAAAGCCCACATATTATAAAGCTGCTGAGTAAGGGATAATCAGGCTGGAAAAGTACCGTCATATCAATGTTTCACCCACTCAGTTGCAAGCGTCAGCAATATTTTAATATAAATACGGCACGTGGAGCCTTTCAGCTCATTCTCTTGCTTTTAGCCTTAGACTATAGCAATTAAATTCAAAGATTCTTTTGTTTTCGGCTTTTGCCGCAGCAATTTAGAGTCTAGTATTTTTTGTTGTAACTTCTTAGTTTTTAATAAAATAAATACATTTTAAAAACAAGATTTTCTGATCGAAAAATATAATAACGGTGCGATTATTTTTTTTTATGATAAAAATACCAAAAAAGTTCAAAATAAAAGTCTTTTGAAACCTCTGGATGCATTAGGAAATGCATTTTGGTTTTTATCACAAAAGAGAAATCCGATCTTGCTCCTTCATCTAAACGCCGAGAAACCTCTGGTGGAGGCAGAGGAAGCACTAAAACAATAATAGAGGACAGAAGCAAGAGAAAACCAATCGATGATCCACGGATAAAAAATTAGATATGGCAATCTTTAAAACTCCGGAAATTCATCAACTCACCAATCGGGTCTAATAAAGAAATCTGGAAATTGGTACATACGATGTTAGAACCAGAGAATCTGCTCTTATAACAAATATGTACGTTTTAAAGAATCCCTTATATCTTTTTTATTATAGAAGACACAGTCAAGAAATTTCCAAGATAGGTGTAGGACTGGATGTAATGTACAATACAAGGATTTTATAAAACGCACTATCCTGTATATCCGTTGCTATTACGACTTCAAAGAAGTTGATGTCAGATTATTTGTAGGCACTTGATTGCGCAACCTTTTTCCCATTTGGTCCACCCTGTATCTTCAATGGTTATCAAAATCCCCATGTATTTCAAGTTATTCCGGACACCCTGTATAGTGAAAATAATTAGTGTCTTTTGTTTTCAACTGAACAGGCTATGCCACATCAACAAAAGATATAAGATGAACGAGAACTAAAGCTGGAAATATGGCAGAGTTTTATTGAGAAACGAGGACTTTGAAAATAAAGAAAGGGGTCTAGGAACAGATCAAATAAACTGAGATATATCAATCAAGTAAGTATACCAAAAAAGCGCCGAGTCCAGAGCGACTCCTATCGGAAATTCTTGAATTGATAGTGGAAGACGAGATCCATTCAAGTAGAATCGTTTTTTATCATATAGAGATCACACAAAACAAATATAACTGATAGCTATCAATATGTAACATTTCCACAAAAAAAAAAATCATCAAGCGTTGTTCCGACTAAAAAGAACTCAAAATTCGAGCTTCAAAACACATTGCCGGAAGTTTTCAATCTCGCTGAATCCAGAAATGCCTATTGCCAAAGAGTAAAGTGGACTGAAAGCCCGTAATTCAAAATGGTGTCTAATATGGCGGATATTTTTTCGAAATATTGCTAACCACAAGTGATCCACCAGACAACCATCATTTCTGGAACTCTCTTCCATTCAATATTCCAATTGTCTTGAAAAATGGAAGGTCTTCACTCAGCTATGAAGTTCATGGGAGTGATTGAAAAACTCATTGCTGAAAATGAACTTATCCAAATGTGGCAAGGCAGGTTCTATGGAATCAGTTCCAGTTGCTAGGACAGCTAGTTGCGAAGAAATTTTTTCTTGGGAAGAAGTACTCGGAGGGCAATAGAGCCCAAAGATTTACATAGTTGAAGATACATATATGACTTCGTGCGTGGAGGGTACCCTGATAATATGGCGTAAGAGTTCGTGGCCATAGGATTCACCTATTGTTTTCTCATTATTCGAAGAATTTTTGTTGGTGGTCCTTCATGGATAGGATAACAACGCTTCGAATACTCACAAAAGCAATACAAGATGGTGACTGGCGACTGTATCGCCAATCAAAGTACATGTTTGTCTACGGAAGCGTGGACATTATTGCGTTCTCTGGCTGTTTACATTTCCGATATGCAATAAATCAAGGAAGAGAAGTAAAGGGAGAAGAAATCAAGAATGTATTTTTCTAACTCAATCTGCATTTCTCACCTCTCTCCAACGCTTTGTTTTCACGGGCGCCGGAAAAGCACAAGGCTGGTGTTTGGAAGGTATGGTATCTGCAATGAACTGCTGTTGCGTGTGTAACGTAGCTAAAAAGTTTCAATCATCAATTAAACTTATGTTTCGCATGCGAAGAGTTTGCACAAAAGCCTTTAAATCCATTCTGAAGCAAGATTTGATTGTTGAGCCCTCGATTCCCTTCTTCACTTTAATCTGTCTTGCAGAGGTGAATGGTTGTATACTGAGAAGTAGTGAGAAGAGCTCAATTGATACAATTCTACAATCTGGAATTGATTGCTTTCTAGCTATTCCAGTCCCTCAGGTAGCATCTCAGTCTGGATTATTGCAAGCGCTCTAAAATTTACTGTTAACATCAACTATTTTGGAGATATCACTCAAATGACTGGAAACCATTCTTATCACTGCCAGAGAAGGCAGATCTTGCCAAACTTGTTTCCACTGAGCTAATAAAATATCCTTTTTACTATTCTGATGTCGTCGTTGGTGATGGTGGCTTCGAAAATGAATGACAAGTTCGTCATCACATGGCACGTCACTGCCACCAAATTGGCCGATATCTTCGATTACGTTTGGCCGGTGGATCACGGCTAGTAATGGTCATGACTAGGAAATTGTCATGTTGGGCCTCATCCGTGTCGAAAACCCCCCAATGCGCTCCGCGTTAATGTGAACTAAATATGCATGAAAATTATAAAAATGCCTTTTATAAGGTGAATGGAAATACTACTGAGAAAGAAATTGGACTAATAATAAATCTGTACTACGAATAGGAAGTAATGAAGCGATTGGAGCGAATAGAAAACATATCCATAACACTGTAATCGTGTCAGCTCGCATTATGTAACATGCTAAATGTTACTGTTTCTCTTTTTCCCATTTATCATTTTATAAATTAAATTATCGCCTTGAATGCTGAGACTGCCATTATTATAAGAACTTAAAAGTAGGTTTCTGTCGAAAATAATAATAGCAATTATTAACCTAAAGGGCACGCTTTTCGTTTAAATTTCAAGTACCAGTTTGGTAACACCACTTTCCGTTGGCTTTTTTTTGAAGGGAAGCTCTGCTTGTTCAGCTTATCTTATATTCAACCCTTTTAAATTTTGCCGTTCGCCCTGAAAGGTCGACTCTGGCCTGGGGGGCAGCCATCTTCCCCAACTCTGATTACCGTTTTCATAAAGAAAAGTATCTTATCGGCTATCAGGCATTAGTTTGACGAAATAAAGTTGCGCAAAACAAAGTTCCATTGATTACCGAAAAAATCTAAATCAAAAGTCTCGTGATTACCGTTTTATTCAAGTTTGAATTTCGAACCCTCTCGTGGTAAGTCCGTTTCAATTTTTTAAAGTAATGGTTGTTCTTGGAATGCCTCTATTACTCAGGCTTTTCCGAAGAGCCGTTTTTTCCTAGGAGCCGTTTTTCCGAGGAGCCATTTCCTTCGAAGAAACTGTTTCATGGAGCATAGGCATAGAGTTTCTGAAAGGATTTCCGAGAGGAATCAAGTTCTTCACGTATTGACACCTGTACCTCCGCATTTGACAGAAACTGTGAACTTCTAGTCTCTATCTACCTTGATTCAAGGCTAGAATCTCCAGCTTCCCTCGTCAAGTCACAAAAAATGGATGGCTACCATACTCTACCTTTTTATCGGAATTGAGGCTTGTATAGAGTTTAATTTATAACTTTTATTACCTTTTTTTATGAAATCTACTTTATGATCAATTAACAAAATTATTTGATTTTTTTTTCCTGATATGACATTTAAATATTTATCTACAAGCGTTTGGTTATGACGTTTTACCATAACCATTTTTCTAGTATTTGAGTTATGTCATGAGACTCGTAACACAACTAGTGGTGTTATGGACTAGGTTATGAATTTATAACACAACTATTTTTGGTGATTTGACAAATGTCAAAGTTAAATCTGTAAAGATAAAATGAAGGTAGACAACTTAGGTAATAAACGAAAATAACTGACAAAACAGTCTTATTTTTCGCTTTGTATATGAAACGTTGTACATCACACGTGCGTTTGAACATGACTACAAAACTCGTGTGCTTAGAACGACTTGGTCTACGACCTCGTCGGTCTAATCTTTCACCCTCGTTATTGTAATCATGTTCATAAACGCATTTGTAATGTAAAATAGTGAAATTATTAAAATAATGGTTGCAGGTCATCAATGACGTCCAAATTATTGCCAATTGCAGTTTGTAAGAAATTAAAATTCGTTTTAAACTTAGTGCGCATTTTTTCTTTTTTTTAAATCGAGTTAAAAAGAAATAGAATGCTGTCGGATCATATTAG